TCCTTCCTGTTTTTTGTTCATAGAACATACTTTTTCTCAATCTCAGAAGAAGAAGAACTTGTACCTCAAGTTCAGTCAACCCTGCAAGGCTTTGCTCTGGACAGAGCACCTTGGAAAGGCGTCGGCTGTCATTGAAGGTGCTAAGGTTTCACAGAGTAGACAGGACCTTCAGGAGGTCCTGGCGCTAGCAGAGCAGCTGGTACCTCTACATTATGATGCTGAAATAAACGCCCAGCAAGCAAGGCATGCAACCACTCTCTCAGTGGTCCATCGTGGGGCCTCCCTCTGAGCAGGAGGTACTGCTGTGCATCTGTGTTGGCCAAAGGAGTTGTCACCATCAATAGCCTTTGCAGTTTTAAATAGAGCTGTTCAAAATGGAATTACTTCAAAGATGATTCGCCTCAGCATGATGAATAAAGCCAGAGGTTGGCAGCACTTAGCGGCAGTCTGTCATTTATGTGGTTGTAGACTGAAAGGAAATCTTTATTGCCACCAATTTCAGCTTCAGTCACCTCTCCTAAAATATTAATAAGTATATTGGCAGCAGTATGGGAATGGTGGCCTCCCTGTTCCAGAGAAGGCTGCCTTCATGAGCTATCTTCCCCGGTGAGGGGCCCTCTTCAGGGTCTCTGCCACGTGCCTTTGCACCCATTGAGGCTGTTTGGAGGCAGCTGTGTTATAGTTGTGTAGCCTGCTCAGGAGTAAAGATCCTTGTCTGAGATGTTTGCTATTTGCAATGGTGTTAGGTGCTACGTGAATTTTACTGACACAGGCACTTAGTAGCAGTTACCATGTGAGCAAAGTGCTGGGGCTTTATTGCTAATTGTGGCTGCTGTACAATCAAAACAAAAGGTTTGTGAGCTTCCTCACAGCTGTTTTCCAAAGATGTTTTCTGATAGGTAAATGTGGTTGCACTGGCAGGGAGTGCGGGTTTGTGTTTATATCATTGGGAAACTTCTGGATGCTAGCCCGTGGCAAGGAGGATGTCCACATCATTAGGCCAGACAGAGCTGGACAGGACAATCAGGGTCATGTTACCTTACTGGACTGTGGATGTGAACACCCCATGCCACATCATGCTTTCTTGGAGTGAAATACAACGTTTTTGAAAAGTAAAAGATTTGAGACCAAAGCAAAAAAAAAAAAAAAAAAGAAATTATAGATGCACAGAACTTAACAAGTGGAACCTCCTAGTGGTGAGAAGTCTCGAAGTCTGGTTACTCTGAGATCGGCCTTCAGGGTCAGGAGCAACATGGTAGTATCTTTTAATATTTGAGCAATTATAGAAGAGCTACATTCTTTGTATAGTGCAGAGGGTATGGAAAAAAGATGATAAGGGGAGCTATTTCCATAAACACAAAGATCATTTTCCAGTCCGTAAAATGGGCTGTGTTGCTAAACATCCTCACCTGAGAAGTAGCAGTGCTGGCTGCCAGCCCCTATTAGCAGTGTCTCACGTAACTCGGGGTTCATGTCTGTGTCTGCCTCTTCATCCCTGAAGGAGGCAAGCAGAGCACAACTGCGAGAGTGGCCCCAGACAGGCCGACTGGGCATGTGTGACCTTGGAAGCCATGACCCAAGTCATGGACACTGCAGCTTAGTTCTTCATTTATTTCATTTCATTTCATTTTTGATGATGTTTATATAGTTAAGAAGGATACATACCAGTGTGCACCACAGATTAGGGTGGGGAGGGTTGAGGGATGGGGGAAAGTGGATGAGACAACTGTTTCCGGTCTCCTTTTTTCCTTCCTGTATCTGGGGAAGGAGGGGAGAGAAGGAGAGAGGGCTGCTCCCAGCAACCAAATTGCATTGGTAGCCAGGGTTGGGGGACATCATCCCAGGATACCTGATGTTCCAAGGGTACTGTGTAAATGGTTTTGATAGTTCTGAGATGCTATTGACTGAGGCAGTCCTTCCAAGGTCTTTTGGCTGATACAGTCCATTAGAGTCTCCACTCTCCCAGATACTTGCTGTCAAAGCTTGGCCAGGAAAGCTGTCCAATTTGTTATGCCCGCCACTGTACTAGATGTCCTCTGCAGGCCTCAGTGAACTGGTTGTCATATCTTCCATGTGCATCTGGGTATGCTGTCTACTGCACAGGTTTCAGCAACTGAGACACAGTTCTGATACATGCAATCCATAATCAGACCATAGATCCTGTAATTTTCCCTGTGGTTGGAGTTCTGAGTCCAGTGATCCAGTTGGGGGTCTCCAAAGAAAGCTCACCAGAGGTGACCCCATACCTGACTCCTATGTATACCAGTCAGTGTGGGGATCCAGTTCAATCTGTCACCCATATATACACACACTGATTGTTATAGTCACCCAGTCAGTTCTGTCCCCAGCCCATCTCTTACCCAGTCCCATGGATGTGGTGGCCTACACCATCCCTGCCCGCCACAGCTCAGCCCTCAAACACACCAGCATGAACTACAGCCTAGTCAGAATGACCCCCAGAAATGCCAGCCAGGTCTGCCCTAGCCTTGCTTGCTGTGCATGTGGGTATGTAAAGCAGATTGGCCCAGTCTGTCCCACATCCCATTCAGCTCTTGTACATATCAATGGGTATTAGAGCCTAGCTCAGCCTGACCAACACCACTATCTAGCCCACACTCATACTGACGGGTGCCACTGCTTGTGCAGCCAGGCTGGCCCCCAACCCTTTTTCTCATGCTTACCAGTGGGAGATACAGCCAATCAGAGGAGTGTTCACAATTTCACTACTAGGCCCACTCCCAGCCCTGGATCTTGTACTTTCCAGGTTGTTCTGTGGTCTCTCCTGATATAACTTACTTCTAGCATCTGTCAGCTGATGCTGTGGCAAAGCCCAACCAGCCTGTACTTCCTCTGATTCATGCATGCACCAATGGATATGGTTGTTTAGCCCAGATTTGCTCTCCCTCTGACCCAGCTCACATGCAGGCCAGCAGGTTTTGTAGCCGTGCCCAGCCTGCCTAATCTGCCCCGAGTCCCGGCTCTCGTACTTGCTAATGGGAACAGCGGATTAGTAGGAGTGTCTTCGCAGCCCCCCCCCCAGCTGGCTCACCCCCAATGCCCGACTTATATGTGCTGGTAGGTGCTGTGGGCCAAGGCATGGCTTGCCCGGCTCAGTCTGCCCCTGGTTCCAGCTCATGCTGGTGGGTGCTACAGCCTAGCCCATCCTGGAATGTGCCCAGACCTGGTACAACTGCCAGGTGTTGGAGCCCTACCTGGCCTGTTCTGTACCTTGTCCTAGTTCTCACATCAGCTGGTGAGTGTTATGAACTCCTGACCTGGTCCACCCCCAGACCTGATCCACACTGTAACCTGGCCTGGTCTTGGCTGCTCGCAGCCTTGGTTCTTGCATTCACCTGCAGGGACTGCATCCTAACAGAGGGGTTCCCTACACTCCTCTATCAGGTGACCTCCCAGTCACAGACCGTGCACACACAAGTGGGTTCTTGGCTCACCTTCTGTCCTAGAAGGTACATTGGCCTTGCCCAGCCTCCCCCGCCCAGCCATGGCTTTCATATGTGCAAGTAGACAGTGGTTAATAACAACAAGCCTAGCTCAGATCTTCCACATGGGCAAATGTATTGGTTTGGCCCTTGGAAGGTCCTCCAGTTTCCCTCCTGCAAAGCACCCAGTCTCAGCCCCCTCATTTACCTGCAAGTGCAGTAACTGATTGGTGGAAGTCCCCCAGAAGTCACTCCTCACCTGTCACATTTTCCCTCAGCAGTTCTCCCTCCCACACTTCCCCAGATCCCTTTCCTTGAGCAATCCACAGCCCCCATGCCAGTAAGCATTCAGATCTGCAAACCCAGTCCTCCAGTGGTGGGTCATGACACATTAGGGTCTTGCTTGCCTACTCAGGGTCCCAGACCACATCTACTGGCATGCTGGTGTCTGTCTCCCATGTATCTTAAAATATATTTTTGTGTATAAATAATAGGCAACTATGGTAGCACACTGATGCAGTTAACTCAGATTTGGCATTAGCCAGGCCCACAATGCCTGCTGTTAGCTGCTTTTCTACCAGCAGTGTAATACTTGCCTAAGTACAATGCAGCCTAGGCCGCTGCCTATAGCTGAGGGCAGTGCTTCACTTACCCAGTGGAGATAAATGTTCTCATCTCCTTAGAGGAGGGTTGTTAGCATTAGATATATTACTGGGGATCTCAGTGCCTGATAAATGCTTGGCAGTAGTTCCAACACCTCTCACTCTGTTGCCAGAGAACCAGTGTGAAGTATGAGCAAGCAGCTGGGCAGCAAGATTCCCTGGCACCGGAGAGAGGATCTCATCTCTGCATCCCCTCACCCCAAACAGGCACCAGCTGGCACTGCGTACCACATGTCAAACTCATGTGGTTCCTGATGCACCTAATTACCATGAAGGGTACCCTAGCCTGTCCTTCAGGGCTCTTCTGTTCTTGCTGGGGGGTGATAATATAGAATATGCCAGATGCTGTGGAGGGTGTGCACAGCACATATAGAGGGTTGAAGCTCAGAACAGCTCAAGAGTAGTTGGACCAAAGCATGTAACTTTTTAAAAATGAATTTGTTTATTTTTATTGGAAAGGCAGATTTTTACAGAGAAGGAGAGACAAAAATCTTCCATCCACTGGTTCATTCTCCAGATAGCTGCAACAGCCGGAGCTAAGCTGATCTGAAGTCAGGAGCCAGGAACTTCTTCCGGGTCTCCCACCCAGTGCAGGTTCCCAAGACTTTGTTCCGTCCTTGAGTGCTTTAGCTAAAAATATTGAGAATGTAACAGTAAAGAATAAAAGCATAACTGTTATTAGTGGTTGGATATGTAAATACAGAAGGTTAGACCTAGAAATGTATTTAATATAAAGCTGAAGAAATCCATCAGAGAACTGTTTGAGACAGCACCAGGGATACTTTTACCTTTAAGGAGTTGTATATGTCTGTATTAAATAAATTTGTTTTCAGTAAATCACCATTCTGCCTATATGCATCTTAATCCTTTGTATATACATTTTTTTTTTCACTTTCAGCCTATGGGAAAGTGTTTCTAGTTCGTAAAATAAGTGGTCACGATGCTGGAAAACTGTACGCCATGAAAGTTCTGAAAAAGGCAACCATCGTGCAAAAGGCCAAAACCACAGAGCACACGAGGACGGAGCGGCAAGTCCTAGAGCATATTAGGCAGTCGCCATTCTTGGTGACGTTGCACTATGCTTTCCAGACAGAGACCAAGCTTCATCTCATTTTAGGTAAGTGTCGCTGGCTGGCTGGCTGGCTTTTCACGAAGACACTTTTCTTTGGGCAGCAATGTTCTTGGGCTTGGGGCAGTGACTCCTGTCACTATGTGGCATGTCCTTGAATGTGGCACATTGCCAGCCTAAAGGAACAAATCTGCTTCTATTTCATGCTCCACTGTGAATCTTAAGGCACAGTTGACTCTTCCGGGATATCTGTGCTCCAGGCTGGGGGCTTCATTTTAAATGCAAGCAGTGTGTGCCTTAGGCATTCTAAGAAATGCACAGTTTGGGGATGTTAAGGGCACATTTGTGGAAGCTAGAAATGGGAACATTTTTAAATAGAAAAAAAAAGACTTCTTAGATGTGCTTTGCATTTCCTAGTTAAACAACAAAAAACCTGCCTTATCTAATGAGGATTGCCACTGATCAGCCACTAATCACCCCCTCTCCCCCCATGTCTTTTGCTTCCTGAATAGAATTCAGAGTAGGTTCTGTACAGCCTTGAGAACCGTGCTCAGCACACGTTGCCAGGTTGTTTGGCAGAGAAGCTGAACCAGCTTTAGTTCTTACTGCAGTGAATAGCAGAACTTGTAGCTGGGGAGTTTACCTGTTGCCATTTTGGTCCTGTGCTTATATCAGTTTGCATATGTGGGTTACAACTCCCTTCTAGAATCATGATACAGAGTGGGTGAGCTAGAATTTCATGTGGTGCTCTGTAAGCTTGAGCTATTTCCTGAAGGCCCAGAGTGTGCCAATCATTATGCCAGGTGCTGCCTGAGGTGTCACTGATACTACAGGGACACTGTGAGATGCCCCCATTCAAGATCTCAAATTCTAAAAGCTCTGGAAGCTTGAAAATGAAGATTGAAATGCAGGTCTGATGCATTGCAAAGTCTGTCTCCTGTTTGCCAAACAGTGTTGTTTGTATGCTTTGATTATTGATCATACAAATTCTTATTTTACATATACAGCAGTCTTATCGAATGCTCTCATTTTGCAAATTATAGTTTTGTTAATGGTACATCAGAATACATTTTGAGCCATGAGGTTGCTCAGCAGGCTCTCTTGGTGGTGCCTACTGTTACTCATGGTCTTGTTTTGTACACGTATTGGGCACAGTCTCTCCTGTCTTGCTTGTGTGTATCATGTCCTAAGCCTCTTCAGTGTTCCTGTCTGCCACAGGTTGAGTCACTGTCATTTGGTCTGTCATTCTGTTCCCCATATGTATCTGCTGTGTGCAATTATACTGATTTTTAAATATGAATTCCTTTAATATTTTCACTCCGATGATTAGTAAGAATGTTGTAGGGACAGCACATTTTCACACAATGGTTTCAGACATTTTTGGCAGCAAGACTTCCCTCAGCTGAATACATAGCTGCTACAGTGGAAAGCAGAAAGGAGAGGCTGGCTGGATCTGGTCTCCAGGGGCACTGAGCGCTTCCAATTTATTCCTGTTCCTCACCCTGCATGAATTTCTGAAGAAGCCATGGGGAGTCTGTGATGACTGTTTGAGATGTGATTATCTTGTCTGAGCTTCTCCCTAGACAATAAACTCATCAAAGGAAATTCATGTGCTGAAGGTCATGCGAGGCAGAGGCTAGTCAGATCCCAAGCTCCTGAGATGCCCCCCAGATTCTCTGCCTGTGTGTGTGTGTGTGTGTGTGTGTGTGTGTGTGTGTGTGTGCATTCACGCCCCCTCTTTGTGTTCTTTTTTCCTCTTTCATAACTGTACTCAATGTGGTTGTTATTGCAAGTAATGTAGTTTGTGTAAATCAGGCTTTTAATAATAATAAAAAAAAAAACAGTGAATTACATTGTATTGGATTAAGAAATCATGGTGTTTGGTCGTGCTGCTTTGTTCATCATCATCTCTCCACATGAACACCTACTTTGGCCAGCTTTGGAATGGAATGTGGCCTGGACCACCTGCCTGTCTTCTGGCAAGGGTGGGGCATTAGAAGGCATGCTCTTCTGTCTCAGCCGACACTGCTTGTATGCAGTGGTTGTTATAAGGTTTTCATAAATGTGGAATAAAACTTTCTTATAAGCTGTTTTTGTGGTCCTGTTTGTGGCAATGCTGTGGCAGTGCTGCAGTGCACGCTAGTTCAGCTTTCTGTATGCCATGCCGGGTCCTTAGGCCTGTGTGAGTCTGTTGGGGCTACCATAACAGGACAACACAGCCTGGTGGCTTAGGGAAGCATGCCTTTTCCCAGCTGCAGTGCATGGAGGACTGAGCTCAAGGAGCCACCCCTCCTTGACTTGGAGATGGCCCAGCTCTCCTGCCTCCCTAGTTCTCTGGGTGCCTGTGCTGCTGTTCATATTAATGTGAATGCTCCCCTGCTGCTCTCTGTCTATAAGACACTAGTCAGACTGGCCTAGATCCCATCAGTAGATCCCATCCTAATAGCTTCATTTTAACTCCATTCTAGTCACATTATGGACTACTGGGGGTTAGAGCTGTAACAAACAAGTTTGGGGAAGATACAGTTCAGCCTTGTAAAAGTCCCTAAATGTTTGTTAATTATGTATTATCTAGTGCTATTGTGAGCCTATAGCAAGAATTGTCATGTGTAGCTCTTTTGGATTCAACTGACCCTTTGATGACTAAGTAAACCCTGTTGAGCCAGTGTTGCGGTATAGCTGATTAAGCTCCTTATGACAACAACAGCCCATATTAGAATGACTTTTTAAGTCCTGACTGCTCCACTTCCAAACCAGTTTCCTGTTAATGTGCTGGAAAGGTAGTAGCTGATGGCCCAAGTACTTGCACTTCTGCCATTTGTGTGGAAGATCTGAATGGAATTTTTGGTTCTTGGCTTGGGCCTGGCTCATTCCTGAATGTTATCGCTATTTAGGGAGTGAATCAATGGCTGCCCCTTTTCTCTGCATTCTGCCTTCCAGATAAATATTTTCTAAAACTGGACCTTTTATTGTTAATTGCATGTTTTAAAATTTATTCTGTGTTTATTATGTATGTACTTTTTAAAATTATAAAAAATGAAATTAAAGGATAGATTTATTTTGGTACAGAAGATCTGAAGTCCATAATAGGCACTTCTCACCAGCTTTTAAAACTGCCTTCATATATATGCAGAAACAAAATAGAGGAGAGCAGAAATAATCAGAACACTTTCATTTCTTAGAGTTTACCTTATTATACACTCCTTTGTTTGTACATGAGTATATCTTTACAGATGTCTTAGATTACATGTCTCTATGTTTTATAAATATAAGATCTTCCCATAGATATTATTTATAATAGTTTTTCAGTTGGTGATTGTATACCTTTCCTGGCCAGTAGATTTCTACTCCTTGTAATGCCTGTTTTTTAAAGGTCCTCTCTAGAATATAATGGCACCATGTAAAACTTAGTAGTTTAGATAATGACATATTTTCTCACAGTTCCATGGATAATCCAGGCATTCCCTGCTGCTTCAGCCTGTGCTCACTCATGTGGTGTTGGGATGGAGTTTGGCTGGGGTGGAAGGGCCAAGGTCCTTGTGTGTGGCAGTTGCTATGAGTTATTATCTAGGTGACTTCTTTTCCTCTCTATGGGGCCTCTCATCCTCCAGGGCAGAGTAGCGTCCTCCTTGCCTGGCAATCCTTTTTGTATTTGTATTTTCCTTGTTCTTTTTGTATTTCTGCACAGTGCCCTATGCCATGCCACTGGGCTCTGAACTGGCTATCTGTGGCTGGGTCCTGTGTTTCTTCTTTCAAGGCTTTTTAAAAAAAAAATTTATTTTAAACTTCTATGGTACAATTCCATAGGGTCTGGGATTTCTGCCCCCTCCCATGACTGATTTTCCCTGTATTATTATAGTAGTATAGTCCTTCATAAGCAGTCCCAAGTCCATCAGTCTGTTATTTAAGTGTGTCCCAACTTTGCTGGTACAGATAGTGTCAGACAGTCCAGCATCCCAGTGCCTAGATATGTCCAGGCTTTTCTTATGGTGATATTTGAGTAATTGTCTTGCACAGACATCATTTCCCACTTGTGTTGAAAAAAAAAAAATGTATGCTTGATTCCTGGAAAGGAGTTTTCTGTGTCTATATTTTTGCCATCTGTAATTTTGCTAAATATCTTCCGTTAGAGTTGCACCATTTTATTTTATTTTTTAAATTTATTTTTTATTGATTACATTGCATTATGTGACACAATTTTATAGGCTCTGGAATTCCCCACTTCCCTCCCCAAAACCTGCAGCCCCCACCCCCATGGTGGATTCTTGTTGCATTACTACAGTTCAGATTCAGTTGAGATTCTTTCCTTGCAAGCATCTACAAAGCACAAAGTCCAGCATCTTATTGTCCAGATAAGTTCAGCAGTTTCATGGGGAGACTGTCTCTGGTCTGAAGGTAGAGCCAACAGAGTATCATCCCAATCAATTAAAAACCCCGACATTACATCAGTAACAATTTATAACGTAATGGAATTAGTTGACATGGTATTGTGTAACCAGCATGTTAAAAGAGAGAGAGAGGAAAAAAAAAAAAAAAAAAAAAGAGTTGCACCATTTTATACCCCCATCACACTGCCTGCAAATGCCTGCCTCTGCAGAGCGTGTTGTCATGCTGCAAAATGTTTGCCTGCCTCTTCAATGAGTCTCACTGTGGAGTTACTTTTCATGTTATTTTTGAGTGAGGCTCAGCATTCTTTCATATGTTTAAAAAGGACTTTTTTGCCATATTTTCTGAGCATTACCTGTTTATACCTTGTGTCTGTTGCTTTCTGCTCCATTTCTGGGAGTTTTTAGATTAAATGTTTGAGGTATGCATTGTAAACATTTCCCTAGTCTTTTTAAAATTTTGTTTGTGGTGCTTTTTACTGTGCAAAAAAAAAAAATTGTATACAGTGGAGTTTTTTTGTTTCATTTTAATAGTTTGTGATTTCGAGTTACAGTCTAAATGTGTAAAGATGTTCACCAGGTTTTTTTCTTAGTGCTTGCATGGTTTACTTTTGCATGGGGAGCTTTAATCCATGTGGAGTTTTTACTGTGACCCGAGGAACT